CCTGACTCCTGAGGTGAATGCAAAAAATGTTTTTACCGTAAGTGACAGGATTTGGCGGTAGATTTTGTGTATTGGGTAAAGGAAAAGGAAAAGTGAAAGAGCACACCACAGCAACACACCTGCGGGTAGAAATTATGATGTCAGTAATAAAAAAATTAAACGTTTGCAATAAATTAAACAATGTAAACGTATATTCTGTATATATTTAAACACACATAATTACAATATATTAAAACATCATATTTAGATGTAAGAGGTCCAAATGGTAGGGAGCTGAGACTGACTTACAAAATAAACACAATATGGTACATAGAAAATAATGCTTTATTTACATTAATTTGTATTAGGAACAAACTAACTGTGTATTGGTAAAAAAAATGGAAACTGCTTAATATGATAACAATAGTATAAAATAATATTACATCCTGATGAAATTAGTTTTTGACATAATCTTATTTTATGTGAGATGTAAAAAATAGGTTATCACACTGATGTCCTTGTTCATTTAGTTTCCTTTTTGAAAATATCTATTCGTTTTAGTTCAAATAGAAGAAAATCTAGAAGAGAACATAGTAGAGCACAGTTAATATGTGTGTTATAATCCTTTAGCTCTTCTTAAAACTGAAAACGCGCAGCTAACACTTTGGACACTCTCCAGTGTTGACACAGTGTTATTCAGACAGAGTCACAGTTTCTTGAGGACCACTATCGGCACCCAGACCACTTCAGCTTAATGAAGTGGTCTGGGTGCCAGGTCCCTCTAGTTTTAACCCGGCAGCTGAAAACATAGCAGTTTCAGAGAAACTGCTATGTTTACACTGATGGTTAATCCAGCCTCAGGGAGACAGCCACTAGAGGCCGCTTCCGCGATTCTCACTGTGAAAATCACAGTGAGAAGATGCTGACGTCCATAGGAAAGCTTTGAGTAATGCTTTGCTATGGGCGGTCTGAATGCACCCACGAGTTGCTTTCTTTGACTACATTGCTAAGTTAAGTGGTTGAATTATATGTTAGAAGATCATATGTAGTGAAGCAGTCCAAGATAAACATAATGTGCCAAAGGTCAGATTACTTAACAATTCCTAGATAGTATGATTAGAGGATCAAATGTGTCCTTAAAAATAGATCAATTTGTAAATAAAACAATTAAACAGCTTGCATTATTATTAGCTTTAGAATAGGACTAAGATAATAAAAATGAATTGGAATTCATGCAAATTCACTGAAATAACATGGTAGTAACAGCTTCTTTAAAAGAACCCTTAATTACTCTATATTTTTCATTTGAGCTGTTTAAACTTTATCTTTTGACATATTTACAAGATTACATTGTTGGTGGTCTCACGGTATTATATATAATATTGTTTAGCAGATGTGTAGGTAGTTTTCAATAAAATATTACCATGAATGTCTAATCAGATATCTAGGTCTCCAATAACACAAAATATTATTTTAACACCCTACCCTCAAAAAATTTCTAAAATATAGGAATGGAAATAAGAACAATATTTAGAAAAATAGTGCTATGTGGATTCCACAAAATATTATGCTTATGGATAGAATAATGATTAGATTTTATTCAAATAAATTCTTTATTTCCTTTGATTCTGTGACCGGCAGCAGGCTCTAGTCCAATGTATGGCTGGATATAAAAGTATGGTTGAAGAGTCTTTTCTTTCTTTGTTATATTTTTTTTTTCTTCCTACTGAGCAAGGTCATCCCAGTTAATCAGAAAATACCAAATGTTCTTCCATTTTGCCTTCTGTCAGCTTCTTTTTAGCACATCATCAAGAAGGAGCTTTTCAATGCAAGATTGCATTTCAAATAACATTTAAACAGATTGCAATGCTATCCAAATGAAACTAGGTTGTTGCCATGGTTGTGTATTGGAAGCTAGATGGTTGTCTATATATATATATATATATATATATATATATATATATATATATATATATATATATGTGTGTGTGTGTGTGTATATATATTTTTTTCAAATAAATATATATATATATATACATACATATATGTATGTGTGTGTAATAAATGTATAAATGTATGTTTGTATAAATGTAAGCTGCAATTTTGTTTTAGCTCTTTAAAAGAAGAAAAGTATTTGAAATATTATTTGCATTACAGTAGGACTGATTTTCTTCCGGCATCTCCATCTGCTACAATGGAGACTTGAGGGAGTGTTAGCGGCTAGCAGAAGTCAGCTGTCGGAAGATCATTTCTTTGCCGTCTGTTTCCTTCTTAATACTTCTGCGTTAAAAACTCCTGATTGTTAATTAGTTCAATATGAAATGTTAGAAAAACAGGAATATGAACTTCAAAGTATCTTGAAATGCATCTTATTAGGAAGCAAATATAAATAAAAATATACACATATTTTTAAGTAAACAAGTTGATTACATATATGTAGTGCTGTGCGCCAAAATGTGTTTATAATGTTTGCCTGTTATGTGAAATCATTGCAAATGCATTGATAGAATTTTCAGACCAGTCATATCACATACAAAACTTAGGCAAGGTAATAAAATAAATTGTTACTTAATGGATAAAATTAAATTGACAAAGTAAATTAGTAAACATTATCATGTGAGGCCAAATTCATCAAGATTATATGCCACAATATCATCTTTATATCCTTCCTATATGTCCTTACTATTGGCTCAAGAACATAAAGATGCCTGGCGTAGGAGAATGATCAGATCTGATTAGCTGTTTTGACTTTTAAACATTACTCTATTCAAGTCTTCAAGCACTTTTTTTTTTTTTAAATAATGTAAAAATATTATTTTTAGTTTTAATGTTATAGGATGTGAAAGAGCAGCAGTGACATAGAGTTCAATCTTTCAAACACATCTCTACAGTTTGAAGCGATTTCCAAGAAGTAAAATATTCCTTTTTTTACTCTATAACTTTGGCAAACAGAAGTCTCATTGCATTAACAACCTATTCACAATTATATAATTACATATTTTGTTTAGTAAAGCGTCCATGCCCAGCACATCCGTCTTAGACCGGTGGATCAAAAAACGGACCGTTGCAACCTCGCAGTAGACATCCTGGTACAAAACACCCATGGAACCCTCTTAGATGGGCTAACAAACTCCACAATCCAAAGCACCCCAAAATGGGCAAAAGTAAAGGCGAACCGAAAGAGCACCACCTCGAAATAGGAAAAGCACACCACTGTCAGAACTGCAAACAGCAAGGCCCCGGACATGGGCCTGCACGAGTCAGGGGTCCTAGGGCGCCTCCTCCACCCTCTCATCGCCAACGCGACCATCACATCCTTAGTGACATCCAGAACTCTGGACAATTTAAACCAAAAACTGATCGGCACGGTCACGTGGACTCCCCGGGTTGGCGACATGACAGAAATAGGGAAAAGGAGGTAAAAGATTGAGGGTGAAAAGAAAAGGATGAATGAATATGTCCATAGTTTTGGGTAACTGCAGATATGTTAAGGTAAGGCGTATATATATATATATATATATATTTATTTTCTATATGTGCCTGCCAAACCTGCTACCCTTGGGTCACTGCAGGAATTAGGGTGATGGCATAATCTTGCTATCCCTGGGGCCACATCAAGTAATCCCCCAGTTTCTTCAGGGAACACCTTTTCACAGGGCTTTATCCTGAAGCCTCTTAAGGAAGAGAAGCTGACCTCCCTTGAGGTTGAGGGTAAAAACCCTTCAGGCAAGCCAAAAAGAAAATGATTTAGTCTTAAATGACTTAGTCTTATAGGGATAAGACGGGAACAAAAGGAGGAGGGGTGGGAGGGAGTATATATAACTTTGTTTTAAATAGTTCCTGTCTAATTAGAATATGGAGGAGCTACCCATTGTTGTGCTGCCACAACTCCCACAACTCCAGGCTCTGCCTTAACATTTGTGGTCAGGGATAAAAGCCAAGTGAGAGAGTAAGTTTGATGTGGTGAAAGTTGGTTGTAGTGTGTCAAAACCAAAGTTCGGGTAGGCATGTAAATAAAGTGGGCAAAACAATTAACAAAGCAAAACTTTAACACGTTATCACATTACATAACCAAATCTTTGAACTTGATATATCGGTTATATGCGATTTTGACACATTGAGATGCTACTGACGATTTTTGTGGTGAATTTGTTTGGCCTTAAGACCCAAAGGAATTTGTTTGGCCTTAAGAACCAAAGGAAGAAACAAATTCACCTAAAACATCTGCAGTAGCATCTCAATGTCTCAAAATCGCATATAACCGATATATATATATATACACACACATATATACATACATATTTATATATATATATATATATATATATATATATATATATATAAAATCCAAGTAGATGGCTGCACTCACGGTTTTGTATAAAAGTCCAAAGTTTATTGAAGAAACATAAAATAATTTGCGATCGCAAATTATTTTGTTTCTTCAATAAACTTTGGACTTTTATACAAAACCGTGAGTGCAGCCATCTACTTGGATTTTCTGGATACATTAGCTACATATGGCTGGCACCCGGTCACCAAGGGATGCATTAGTGTGAGTGCAGGAATTATTATTTTTTTTTATTTTATATATATATATATATATATATATATATATATATATACACACACACACACACACATTCCTATGGTTCTAAGAGCCAAACAAATCTGCTGTAGCATCTCTTTCTTAATTATTGAGTTGTCTGGTTTTGAATGTGTGATGAAAGCAACTTCGCCACTGATTCTTGGAGGGGCATACTTGCCAGCCTCCTACCCTGTGACTATGGCCCCTGTGATAAAACGTGGTTTAAATCACTTTTTGTGCCTTTTTGGATTTTTATGGACACAGTTTGAACTTTTGAAGTGGCACTTCAAAAACTGATGATCACTGGATCCTGAACTTTCACCTACAGTAATATCTGATACCAAATCTCCATTTGTTAACACTAAATCTAGTATGGCTTCCTTGCAAGTTGGCTCCTCGTTGACTTGTTTTAGAGACAATCCCAGTAGGGAGTTTAGAAAATGTGTGCTCCTGTCACAAGCAGCTATTTTGGTTTTCCAGTTCACATCAGGAAGATTAAAGTCACCCATGACGATATCATCCCCCTTCATTGTCATTTTAGCTATTTCCTCAACTAGATTATCTAACTCTTCTATTTGTCCTGGGGGGCCTATAAATCACACCTACACGAGTTACTATGTGATTACCATATTCTAATGTAACCCAAATGGACTCTATGTTCGTTTCACTAACTTCACATACAGGACCACCCGTCCCCCTTTTCTTTCTTTCTTTCTTTCCCTGTCTTTTTATATAAAGAGTACCCTGGTATTGCTATGTCCCAGTCATTTTTCTCATTATGATTATTTGTCCCTGTCTCCAGTTGATAGTGCAGTTGTGCATACAAAACCAAGGATAACCCAACAATACTGGAGATGAAGGCGAGTAGATAACCTGAAAACTTAAACTTTCATTGTGTGACAAACCTGAACACATCCACAACTGTTCTGTCTCATGAGTAATCAGAGGAGAATATAAAGGTCTACCATCTATGGTATCAACAGTTGAGAGTGTCTTATTCTCTCTTTGTGGGGTTAAATGGGTTTTGATAAAACCCCTGTGTAAAAATTATCAGCTGCTCCAGAATATATGAGCGTTAAAGTGTCTAGAGTGTTTTTCTCCCATGATTATTCTCGTCATGTTTATTACAATTTATCTTAATTGGCTGTAGTTTGGCCTGCAGACCAGCAGATGGAGCCATTCACAGGATTGAAGGTGAGTACATTTCCTACTCAGGCTGCACGGCCATGTGGTCTTAGGATCATAGCATTGCAGCTGAATTTACTGTCACTGTAAGGGAAATTCACTAAACTGTTCATTCTAAGAAAAAAATTGAGTGTGTCCACACGCTCAAAGAATAGAATGAGGTAAACAATTTGAGCAATGCAGAACAATACTACTTAGCTAATTAGAAATATTTTGAGTTAAATAGGAGATTGAACACTTATTAGAATATAATAAAAAATTGGAATAATAAGGTACGGTGAAGAATGGAAGTAAATAGGTCCACTCTGTCCCACTTATAAAGATTCAAAGGATAGGCAATGATAGGGTAATATAAAACAAGAAAAGGTTAAATAGACTGATTGTATGGTTATGACCACTGGTAATTCAGTGGATGTGAATCATTTTGCCTCGACATCCCAACAATCAAGAGTATAGTGTATGGATGGATTATATACATTGAAAACTTCCAATATATATGTTTGACAAACTATTGGATCATGGGAGTACTTATAACACACTCACTTCTTTCTTAGAATTATCAGTTTAGTAGATTTTCACTTCCCTTACAGTGAAAATAATTGTATTTGACCCAATTTTAAGTTGGCTAGACTATTATTGTGTCAGTAAATGAGATTTGGATGGGAAGCACAAATACCCCCATCTATAATCCAGAATGAGAGTGAAATATCCAGAAACTGAAAGCAAGTAGAGTTGAGCGAACCCGGACTGTAAAATTCGGGTTCGTACCGAACATTAAGTTTTTTGGACCCCGGACCCGAACATGGACATATCAGTGTATGTTTGGGTTGGAGATCGGTGTTCGTCGATTTAATGGCGCGTTTTGAAAGGCTGCAGGGCAGCCAATAAACAAGCATTTGACTTGTCTGCCCTTAGAAGCCATCACAGCCATGCCTACTAATGGTATGGCTGTGATTGGCCAGTGCAGCATGTGACCAAGCCTCTATATATAAGCTGAAGTCGTGTAGCGCCGCACGCACATGAGCTCTTATTAGTGTAGGGAGAGGATGCTGCCGCTTTCAGGGACAAATTAGGAAAGAATTCTGCAAACTAGTACATTAGTGGGGTGCACTTCATATCTGAGAGTCAAATGGGAGCGTAAAATACTGCGGTTACAGCCCAATTGTAAACATTCTTATTTTCTGGGTGCTAATCTGCTAAATAGTAAATTTGGGGCGTGCTCTTCATATCTGAGAGTCAAATAGAAGCGTCAAATACTGCGGTTACAGCGCAATTGTAAAAATTCTAATTGTTTTGCTGCTAAACTGCTAAATAGTAAATTTGGGGCGTGCTCTTCATATCTGAGAGTCAAACAGAAGCGTCAAATACTGCGTTAGCAGCGCAATTGTAAACATTCTTATTTTCTGGGTGCTAATCAGCTAAATAGTACATTTGGGGCGTGCTTTTCATATCTGAGAGTCAAATAGAAGTGTCAAATACTACGGTTACAGCGCAGTTGTAAAAATTTGAATTGTTTTGGTGCTAATCTGTTAAATAGTAAATTTGGGGCGTGCGCTTCATATCTGAGAGTCAAATAGAAGCACCAAATACTGCGGTTACAGCGCAGTTGTAAAAAATCTAATTGTTTTGGTGCTAATCTGCTAGATAGTAAATTTGGGGCGTGCTCTTCATATATGAGAGTCAAATAGAAGCGTCAAATACTGCGGTTACAGCGCAGTTGTAAAAATTCTAATTGTTTTGCTGCTAAACTGCTAAATAGTGATGTCGCGAACCCGAAATTTTCGGTTCGCAAACGCGAACTTCCGCAAATGTTCGCGAACCGGCGAACCGCCCGAAACGCCATTGACTTCAATGGGGAGGCGAATTTTAAAACACACAGGGACTCTTTCTGGCCACAATAGGGATGGAAAAGTTGTTTCAAGGGGACTAACACCTGGACTGTGGCATGCCGGAGGGGGATCCATGGCAAAACTCCCATGGAAAATTACACAGTTGATACAGAGTCTGGTTTTAATCCATAAAGGGCAGAAATCACCTAACATTCCTAAATCACAATCAATATGGATTGACACCTGACATATGACATATTGACACCTTGACATATGGATTGACACCTGTCCTCAGAGCCCCTGATGCACACGGACACAGAGCAGAATAGAGACTGGTCCCCCTACATAGGGTCACTTGGCAGATATGGATTGACACCTGTCCTAAGGATCCCTGATACACACTGACACAGAGCAGAATAGGGACTGTTCCTCCTACATAGGGTCACTTGGCAGATATGGATTGACACCTGTCCTCAGAGACCATGATACACACTGACACAGAGCAGAATAGGGACTGTCCCCCCTACATTGGGTCACTTGGCAGATATGGATTGACACCTTGTTACAAACTGCTATTTGTAACTGGCCCTTTAAATGGCAAATTGCCCTGCTTCCCTGGGTTGTGGATAAGCCTATTTGCCAGCCTCCTCCTGCATGACTATGGCCCCTGGGAGATTGTGAAAATGTATGCACTTTTATTTGGTGTGTATGGCCCTTTAAGACTGTCGGTGGGCATATTGGGGCTTATGGACTCTTTATGTGACTGGTGCTGGCCCTTTAAACACCTTTTTTGGGACATCAGGAAGATTGGGACACTGC